AAAAAGAAAAAGGGGGCCGTGGAAAAGAAATGAATCTAGCTGGTCTATATATATATATATATATATATATATATATATATATATACTATAAATATGAAATAAATTGATTAACTCAAACTTTAATATGGGGCGATTGTAAGTATATATTTTTACACTTTATCGTATCTTTTTATTTGAGATTTTTGTGTGTTTTAACGATAATTAGTGCTTAAAAAGTTGATTTATTGTATTTTAGGTACAAATTGAAGAATTGGAAAAGTATGGGGTCAAAATTGCAATTTTGGAGGAAATATGGGCCAAAAGTGAAAAAATCAAAATTCTGAAGATTTAAAGCTGGGACCCCATCCGAGTTTTAGTTCAAATTGTGGGACCCCCGTCCGAGACTCCGAAGCTGCGCAGTAAAGGGATTTTAATTGCACAAGGAAACTGCCTTCTTCCCCAAGTTCTTCACCCTATATAAGACCAAGCCAAGCACACAATTGAGGATTTTTTTGATGCAAATTCAAGAGCATAGAAGATCAACGAAGATTCAAGCATAGTTTTTCTTATTTAATTTATTTATTTTATTTTCTTTATCATAAGAATCACGAGTAGCTAAGTCTTTATTTCTAGGATTTTATTTGGAACCCTATGTGGGATTTATGAACCCAATTCTATGATTCTATGCAAGTTTTAATTCCGGATTATTTCTTCTACTTGTTTTATTAAGTTCATGAAACTGGCCACTTTATGCGCTTTTATGTTATTGTTAATCGCATGAATCGGAAGATCGGGTTAATAATTAGAACTGTGGTAGAAGAGCCTTTGTGGTATTAACATAGGAATATAGTTAATCTCTTAGGTAGCCATTATTGAGATTTGTGCTTAATGCTGTGTTCTAGAATTAATTGCATAGGAATATAGTAATTGAATCTAGAGTATTAGAATCGTAATACACGCGGAAGCGGGTTACGATTATTTTAGCATCTCAGGTTAATAATTCGGGTTAATTGCTTGCATAATTGAAGGAATTGGGGGAGTAATAATCACATAGGGGGAAGAATAAAATCCTAGGCTTGCTTATCTTGATTAAATCTTCGTTTTAAATTGCTTTCTTGTTTTTGCTTGCCTTTTAATTTAATTTAATTTAGTTAATTCTCTCAAAATTCGACTGTGTAGGGTGGGCTTGATAATAATTGGTAGAATTTAGCCTCTAGGATTAGATAATTAAATATTCCATGTGGGTTCGATATCCGGACTTTTAGTCCACTATATTACTTGTATGATACGTGCACTTGCGTGTAGGTTTTCGGCCAACAAGTTTTTGGCGCCGTTGCCGGGGAATATTTTAATTATTTATTTTATTCTAGCTCTAAATTTGAACAATTTTCACGATTCACCCAATTTAATTTTTTTTTATTTTATCTTTTCGTTTTAATATATTTTTTTTCTTTGGTTACATGTCAGGTTATAATTTTCTCGCACCTCAAAAGGGATATGAATGGCTTCCGTCTGGCGAATACCTCCAAAATACCTATGATATGCCGTCCCTTTGTTCAATATGTGGTGGAGATCATTACACTAACCAATGTTGGTATGCACCGAAAGCTAATAATTTCATAGATAACACCAACGGCGGTTATTGGAACACATACACCAACACGCCACGAGAACCCACTGTTCAGGAGTGTTATTTGAACTCCGTCCTTGAATTTATGAAATCCACTCAAGCATCTATCCGAAGACTGGAGTTACAGTTGGAAGAATTCAAGCGCCAAAAGTCTCTTGAAAATATTTCAGACGATATCGAGAATGGTTGCAACAAAGAAAATTCGTTTGAAATTTGTAGTGAGAAAAATCCTTTAGACCTAGAAACTTGTGTCGATGAGACGGAAAAAGAAATTATGAAGACACTTAAGGATGATGAATCTGACACTGCAATCGAGCTAAACTCCAAAGATGTCTCGGAACAAGAGAAGAAGGAAATGGATGTGGTTAGTGCAAATATTCAAATTGAGGATATTATTGTTGTTCATGACGTGGCTTTGAAGGCATCAATAGGGGTTGATGAGAAGACGAATGTGTTTGAAGTGGAGGTTATACGCGGACGTGATGTTTTTGTGTACCGATTTGAGGAGCGGGTGATGAAGATCCCATCTTGGCTTCGTACCGATTGATTACAACCAAGAAAGATTACAAGCTAAAGTGGACCCTGACATATTGCAATCCTATCCCATCGGTTGCAATTGAAGTGACAAAGCTCATGGATGGATGCGCAATCTACAAGGCTTTGGATTGGACATAACAATTTCAAGAAGCAATGTCCGGCTGAAGACTTAAAATTTAGCGCTTCTCGGGAGGCAACCCGAGCATTTATCGTTTTTTTTTCTTTCTCATATTTTTTCGTATTTTTAGTTGTTTATAATTTTTTTAGAATATATATAAGCGTGCAATCTAATAATTTAATCATGTTTGAATTTTTAGGTCGAAAAACGGACACAAAAAGCCCAGACGGCCGTCCGAAAATCAAGCCAAAACCCCAGAACGACCGTCCGGAGGAGTTACGATGAATTGTGACCCTACTGTTTGTGGGACGGCGGTCCCAAAACAGTGCAAAATGTAGGACGGCCATCCGGAACACCCCTGGAAATTTATTTTATTTTATTTTATTTTTTCGAAAAAAAAGAAGGGTGTTTGCTTGAAAGAGGAAGAGATTGAGGGGTGCAACACGTGGAGGACGTTTAGACTAATCAAGGTGTATTCTATCCTTAAACTTCGTTTTAATTACATTGAGGACAATGTAAATTTTAAGTTTGGGGGTGGAAAAACACTTTTTATGTGCTTTATATGTTTTAGATTGCATGCTTTAGGATTTTTTTTTCTTTTTAGTCGTTTTCGTTTATTTATTGTTTTCTTTAAATAAAAAAAATTGCTTGAGTCGAATGCATCGATGATTTATGATGATGAGAGATGATCAACGTTTGATGATGAGATTACTTGTTTTGTGTGATAAGGACTTGATATTTGTTTAGCTTTTTATTCAACAGAACTTAGAAGTGAATTCTTGCTAGGAATCACACTTTGTGCATTGCTTTGGTTGAATGTTTTGTATTTTAAATTTGGAATTAATTTGTGCTAGATCATGCTATGTTCGGTTTTAGAACTCACCTTAGGAAATTTATGATACGAAGTATTGAGTAGTGAGTAATTTGGGATATGATTTGGGCCTTCTTTGAACCGTTTGAGCCTTTCAATCCGACCTATTTATCGAAATTATCCTTAGAACCTTGATTTGAGCCTCGGAGAAAAGGTGTTCTTTCTTTTAGCCAATGTGTAAGGTGGAATAGGTGGAGATTCTTGAAAAAATTATCCCTTGGAGTTCGGTCAAAAAATTTTATAAGGTCCTTATTCTTCTTCGAAAAAAAAAAAAGAAGATAAATATCTATGCTTCTATATATATAATAAAAAAAAAAAAAGAGAAGAAGAAGAGACTAGAAGGGAGAAATAAGGACTAGTTGTTGAATTATTTTTGAAAACTCGATCCATTGCCTCAAAAGCAAAAGTGGAGACTTTTGAACTTTTGAGAATCGAGTTTATTAAAGTCCGTAGAGGTGAATTCATTGCTTCAAACGCCTATCTTTCAAATTTTGGTGTAATCACCTAAATTCAAGAAGAATAGCCACATATACCCATATTTCCTACCTCGAACCAAAGAGCCTAACAATTGAAAGCCACAAAGCCCCAATGATCCCAATAGCTTAATGTTCGATATTAGTAGAGTAGAATAATTTGGTGAGTATTTGGAGTCAAGCATATGCATGTAAGTATAAATTCTTTCTATCTTTAATTTGCAAATATTGGATGCTTGAAGCAATTGTATGAATTGTGGTTTTTGGTAATGGTGAGTGATTAAGTGTTGTTGAATTTTGAGCTTGCGAATGTCTAAGAATTGTCATTATAATTACAAGTTCTGAAAACGTGAAGTTTAAAGCTAGGACCCCCGTCCGAGTTTTAGTTCAAATTGTGGGACCCCCGTCCGAGACTCCGAAGCTGCGCAGTAAAGGGATTTTAATTGCACAAGGAAACTGCCTTCTTCCCCAAGTTCTTCACCCTATATAAGACCAAGCCAAGCACACAATTGATGATCTTTTTGACGCAAATTCAAGAGCATAGAAGATCAACGAAGATTCAAGCATAGTTTTTCTTATTTAATTTATTTATTTTATTTTC